ATTTTCTGATTTTAAGGGGTGTCTGACAGGTTCCTTTGGGTGCCCATCTTTAGAAGGATAAATAAAAAGGAGAGTGGTTTATTTTGAAATCTGGGTAAAATGTGGGCTTACCCAGATGGAAGATGTGTTAGTAGATTTTTTTTTAAGATTTTTTTTTTTTTAAGATTTTATTTATAGGGCACCTGGGTGGCTCAATCACTAAGCATCTGCCTTCAGCTCAGATCATGATCCCAGAGTCCTGGGATGGAGCCCGGCATTAGGCTCCCTGCTCAGTGGGGAGCCTGCTTCTCCCTCTCCCCTCCCCCTGTTTGTGTTCCCTCTCTCACTGTGTCTCTGTCAAAAAAATAAATAAAATCTTAAAAAAATAAAAGATTTTATTTATTTATTTGAGAAAGAGAGAGAGAGTGTGTGTGTGTGTGTGAGCACAGAGGGAGAGGGAGCAGTGAGCCCTATGCGGGGCCTCAATTCCAGGACTCTGAGATCATGACCCAAGCCAAAAGCAGACACTTGACGGACTGAGCCACCCAGGTCCCTGTGTCAGCAGGTCTTTGACAGGTGCTACTGAAGGACTCAGTTCAAAGGAGTAAAAGTGTAGATGGTATTTGTGGATCGCACAATCCCAAAGGAAAGGCCTAGAGCTGGCCAAGGGCTCGCCTGAATCCAGGTGTCTCTCCTGGCTCTCCCTTTGTCCACCTCTCTTCTGCGTTTTGCTCCTTTGCTGGTTCCATGGCCCCAATTCTGTCCCGTGATGGGAGAGATACACCCATAGCAGCGCTGAGGCCCGCTGAAAGGAACACCTCTGACTCGGGAAATTGCAGGGAAGGACTGTGTAGTTCAGACTGCGTCCCATGCCAGAAGAGACAGAAAGTTCTGGACAACAGTTTCCTTAAAAATGGTGAAGTTAGGAGGCAGGAGGAACTTGACACCAGAAAGGGCTGATGTGTCTGGTGATTGACTCTGTCATGAGGGGAATGCCTTTTAACGTCACTGTTCTCTAGCTGATGTTTCTCCTTTGACCGAGATCGCATTGCTGATGCCAAGAGATTGGTTACCTCATGATCTACAAGGATTGAGTTACTTAACCCTGGTGTACCTCAGTTTCTCATACTAATATAACTTAATAATACTGTGTTTCACGTGGCAGTTGTGCGGATTAAGTGTTTAGAACAGTGCCTGACATACAATAAAGGTTAAATCCAGGGCTTAGTTTACAGTAGAGAGACCAGACAGTGTGTGAGGCACCAGGAGGATAGACAAGACTTACAGACGCTGGAAAAGTTCGTTCCTCTAGGGTAGCAGGGTGTCTGAAGACCGCAAACTGGGAAGCACCGGTGCTAGTCCACCTAGGCAAACACCTCAGGATTGAAGGTCTGGCATACTTGTCCATAAGCAGCAGTACGATGCCACTCTCTTCCTGGCACTCTCGAGACATTTGGAAATGCAGGGCTAAGAGGTCAGGGTTGACATTGTGACTCGGATGTGTTTCTGGCCATTAGTGTCTGGGGAAACAGCATGTTCCTGGGACAGTCCTACACAGAGAAGAGCTCCCCTTCCTAAAATGCCCAAAGCACCCCCACTGATATAAGAAACTAGAGTGGCCTCAGTAGGCAGGCCCTAGAGTGACAGGGAGTGCAAGAGCGGAGGGACTGAGAAATCCAAGCTTCAGGGGGTGAGGTCAGTCACCAAGCAGTAGGGCCTCTGGGCGCCTGGCTTTTTTTCTTTTTTTCTTTTTTTTTTTTTTTTCAGATTGCATTTATTTATTTGAGGAAGACAGAGAGAGCGTGTATGTGTGTGTGTGTGTGTGCGTGCACGTATGCAAGTGGCATTGGGGGGCAGAGGGAGAGGGACAAGCAGACTCCCCACTGAGCAGGGAGCTTGATTCCCCTGAGATCATGACCTGAGCCCAAACGAAGAGTCAGACACTTAATTGACTGAGCCACCCAGGTGCCCCTGGGCACCTGGCTTTTGGGGCAGGATTCTTGTCTTCAGGAAGGAAGCAGAGACAGGAGAGAGCAGTGCAGAGCTCTGAGGACATAGGAGCAGAGACAAAGACTCCAGACCCTGCACAGCACTGGGCAGGTCATGTAGGACCCGGGCCAGCAGGCTTGTCTGACTTCTGCCCCAGCTCTGCCACCTACGTGCTTGTGAGGTCCTATGTTTTGTTGTTGTTGTTGTTGTTGTTTTGGTCAGTTACTATTTCTGTAAACCTTGATTAACCCCTCTGTACAGAGGGTATACTAAGGATAGCCTCTGCCATGTAAGGGTGCTGTGAGGACAGACTTCTTAGCATAGCAGCTGACACACTATAAGTGTTCGGTCAAAGGAAGTGGCATAATTATTGTCATCGGTAACAATGACAGAGATGCAATGAGAACAGTTGGCCTCAGGTAGTAGAAGTGCTGTTAACCAGTGTGGGACACAAGGGCACAGCTCGGTCAGAGTGTGGATGGAGACAGCTCCTCAGTTCCTTGCTGTGTCTAAGTAGGGTTGGTGGTTGGGATGAAGACGGATGCGATGTTGCAGCCGGGACCCAGCAGATCGTTGTGTGAGGAGAAGGGCCATGGAAGATTCCAGCTCCTCCACAAAGGAACCAGCAGCTTAGCTGGGGAGCTAGGACTAACACTCAGGAGTAGTTAAAGGAATAGTAGGTACGTGTACTCTTACAATTATGCAGAGCACTATCTAGGTTCGGTGATGCGTGGAGGGGAAAACAAAAGTCCAAAAGGATGTGACCAGATGTTAACAGTGAGAGTCTCCAGAGATGAGAACACAAATTTGTTAAAAAGATTATCAATTTATTTTGTAATTAGGACAAAAATGTTAGTCCTAAGAGATCGAAGACAGCCTATAATTCAGTTAAGAGTTCTGGAATGCGGGGCGCCTGGGTGGCTCAGTGGGTTAAAGCCTCTGCTTTCGGCTCAGGTCGTGATCCCAGGGTCCTGGGATCGAGCCCCACGTCGGGCTCTCTTCTCGGCTGGGAGCCTGCTTCCCTTCCTCTCTCTCTGCCTGCCTCTCTGCCTACCTGTGATCTCTGTCAAATAAATAAATAAAATAAAATCTTAAAAAAAAAAAAGAGTTCTGGAATGCCACAGAAATAAGAAATCACACGTTCTAGACTAGAGTGGGAAGATCAGGAGGAGGTGGCATCTGGGGGATTCCTGACGGATGGATAGGATTTAGACATGGATGGGAGAAGACACCCTAGAGGGGGAGACCTAGGCGAGTGGATGACCATGATGGGTGTGCCAGTCACCAATTTATTCCTTCTCAGGTCTAAAATCCATTCTTGGCCCTGCTTTGTGATGCTGGAGCTGAACCGTGTAGACCTTTCCCTCTTGCCCGTTGGCACAGCGCTTGGCTCTGTCCTGCTACAGCGTGCCTGGGGACGTTGAAAAGAGCCCCCTGATCAAGGAGGGACTACAAGATGAGTCAGATAAGGGGCACCTGGGTGGCTCAGTTAAAGCCTCTGCCTTCAGCTCAGGTCATGATCCCAGGTGGGATCGAGCCCCACATCGGGCTCTCTGCTCAGCGGGGAGTCGGCTTCCCCCCCCCCTCTCTCTCTGCCTGCTTCTCTGCTTACTTGTGATCTCTGTCTGTCAAATAAATAAATAAAACCTTAAAAAAAAAAAAGATTAGTCAGATAAGCACAAGAAAATTTTTCAGACTCTCAACATCTAGGCAGAAGAGAAATTCATTCATGAGCTGAAAGACTAGTAAGAAATCTTAATGCTGCCAAAGATCGCTTAGCAACTGCCTGACAGACCATGAGTCTTCCCAAGGCCTGGGTCCTCTGGCCTGCTCATCCCTTCCTCTACAGCCTGTCTTCCCTGGTCAGGACCCTCCTGACAGGCACCTCCTTCTCTGAACGCTGAGCACACTGTACTTTTCACACCACTTTACCTTTGGTCAGAGTATTGCCACTGCCTGGAACACCGTCCTCCATTCTTTGATGCCTTGGCAAATATCTGTTTGTCCTTCAAGAGGCTGATGGGGCATCACGATGCACATCGTGGTGGTGAAAGATGTTTCCCCAGATCATCATCCCTCCAGCTTCATACCTTCCCCTTCCACATTCCTTCTGGATGCCTCGATTCCATGCATTCATTATCTTAGGCTTATTTGTGTCTTTGTTCATCTTTTCCGCTATGAAACTTAATACTTTAATTCTCCCTTAGATCTCCAGAGCCTAGCAGATGGCCTGGAACATAGCATGTGGACTGAACTGACTTGGGAGGATGGTGATATTTGAGGGAATTAAACACTCAGAAATAGTGTGTGGGGGAGGGCGTTGGTAGGTGTAGAATAGCATTTTATAGTATTCCTGGTTTAGGAGTGTTGGCCATCCAATATCTGTTCCAGTAGGTTCCATCAGCATGGTATTTCCCCACCTCTGCCTGTCTCTCTGTTCTCTCTAATACGTACACAGGCAGGGTAAGTGGTAGATGAATTAGAATCTGTTGTTAAATTAGTCTGCTTTGGGCTCAAACTACGAAATTCTGAGTAGGAAAACACCTATACTTCCTCATGAAGTTCTTTTTTTTTTTTTTTTTTTTTTTAAGATATTTATTTATTTATTTATTTGACAGGGGGCAGGGGTGGGGTACAAGCAGGGGAAGTGGAAGAGGGAGAAGCAACCTTCCTGCTGAGCAGGGAGCCCCATGAGATCTTGAGACCATGACCTAAGCCGAAGGCAGACACTTAAAGACTGAGCCATCCAGGCGCCCCCGTCATGAAATTCTTTTTTCAGTGTCCATATCAGTCAACATCCCCTCTTAACATAAAGGAGGGGAAAGTTCCAAGGTGAACAATAGAATATGCCTAACATTGCTGGTGTTCTGGGGACAGTTGGGCTGGTTAAGTGACTGCCTGCATCGCTCGTCCCTGGCCCAAGCTCTTAAGTCCATCCCAAACTCAGAGTGTCTAGATTTTGATTGGATTTTTGCCAGAGCTCATTAGCATAGTGTACCTTGACCTGGATTAGGGAACTGCAGCTTCTGCTTAGAAAATGACCAGAACCTGCTGGGACCTGAACCAGAGATGAAATTTTTATGACACGGTGTTGTCTGCATCTCCGTAAGAAGTCAGAAGGTAAGGAAGCCAGAAATCCCGGGGTGAGGCCAATGTAAGGAATATGCTGATAGCAATCCCGTTCCTACAGGATTTCAGTTCTACTTGAAATGATGAAATTTGAATACATTTTGCCCCAAGTTGCTTAAAAAAAAAAAAAGGAAATCTTTACAAATTACGTTTTTTAATTCTGGAGAAAAACTGAATTATTTATTTTCTAAGGGCTGCAAACAGTCGTTGCTGTGTTTTGTTCTTAGCTTTCAGGGAAATACTAAACTGAGGTTTGTTCATTTGGCAACAATTTATAACTGAGAAAATAAAAAATGAAATCTTGTACAGCAGGATTTTTTATTCCTCTCCCCTTAGTTTAAAAACAAAAGAGTTATGTCTGTGTCGTTTAAAGAAATGCTTAGGAATTTTTGAGATATGACTCTTGTTATTCAAGGTCTTAAAAAAAAAAAAGAAAAAAGTTCAGTCTGTCCCAATGAGCTACAACAAGTTTTAGACCATCTGAGTTACTACTGTTAACGCTCAGAGAGGTAACCCCATAAAGCTGTTACCATCAGGTCGCCACATGATCTCTGTGTCTCGTAGACTTGGAATTGAAATCTGAATTCAGGTCAGTCTGTAGCAGCATTTCTTCAGCAACTCAATGTTATTTCCCAAACATAGAGTTTGATTTAGAACTCCTGGGGATTTAACCTTGCATGGCAGTGTTTGAAACAAGGGTGATGGACTTCATGCTCTTTGAATCTTTGACCACTAGGTTGTAGGTGAGTGTGGTAGGGGGATAAGGGGTGAAGGGACCCCTATTAGCTTATTATGTAAGGGTCATACTTTCGGGTCAGCAGTCTTCTATATTCATATACCTGCCGTCAGATCTCAGTAACTGACAAGTGTTAGGGTTATATAAAGATACGTAACTAAGGAACAGAGCCCATGGCACTTCCTCAGTTGGAGACTATTAAACTAACTCATAGTTCAGGTTTACTATTAAGTTGTTTTATGTAACATCATTATGTCCCTTGTTTTTACAAGAGCCACCAGCAAATGGAGATTGCACGCATACTAACATGTTTCACTTTGTGTTCTACTAATACGCACATTTCATCCGCAGAATGATCACTTTTTTCCTCAGAGTAGAACATTTCCTTTCTTCCCCTTCCTTCCTTCCTTCCTTCCTTCCTTCCTTCCTTTCTTTTCCTCCTTCTTTTTTCTTTTTTCTTTTTTGGCTAAATCTCCTTTAACCAGTTATGATTAGAAACCAGAGTGGTATTTCTCATGGGGGAGGAAATTCAGTGTGCAAACATTTTTGAATCTCTCATTTACATAATACGATTTAATCAGAGCAAAATGAGATAGAATCTCCGGTGGGGGGGCAGGGCGGAGAGAAGAGGGAGATTTTTATTAGAAAACCTTGAAGGGTACTTTTGAGTTAAAGTCAGAAAACAATATTTTTATTTAAAAATTTTTTTTTATTTTATAACATTCTTTTAATTTTATTTTTAAAATAAAATGCGGCATTTGTTTCATGGATACAGGTCTGTGATTGATCAATCTTACACAACACCCAACACTCCCCACACACATAACCCTCCCCAGTGTCCATACCCCAGCCATCCCATTCCTCCCACCTCCCCAGCAACCCTCAGTTTCCTGAGATTAAGAGTTTCATATGGTTTGTCTCCCTCTCTGGTTTCATCTTGTTTCATTTTTTCCTTTCTTCCCCTATGAACCTCTGCCTTGAAGAAATACTATTTTTTTTTTTTTTTGAAGAAATACTATTTTAAAGCAGTAGTTCTCAAACAGTTCTGCCCCTTCCAGGGGACATCTGGCCATGTAGGGAGACATTTTTGGTTGTCACAACAAATGATGTGTTGCTACTGACACTTAATGGTCAGAGACCACAGATGCTGCTAGACGTCCTACAGTGCACAAGATAACCTCCCAAAGCAAAAAGTATCAGGTCCTGGGACTCCTGGGTGGCTCTATCGGTTAAGCATCTGACTTTGGTTCAGGTCATGATCCCAAGGTCCTAGGCTCGAGCCCCATATCGGGCTCCCTGCTCGGTGGGAAGCCTGCTTCTCCCTCTCCCACTGCCCCTGCTTGTGTTCCCTCCCATGCTCGCTCTCTCTCTCTCTCTCTCTCTCTCTGTCAAATAAATAAATAAAATCTCAGAAAAAAATTACCAGGTCCAAAGTGTCAATAATGCCCAGGTTTGAGAGGGAATCTGATTTGAGGCTATCCATTAATAATATTTGAAAATACAAGGTACACACTGGTTTATTGAGATAAAAATTCATCTCTGGAAATTTAGATTTAAAAAATACTTCTGGATACATTTGGTTGTGATGTTTCCCACTTCTGACTTGAACCACACATGTGTAAGCTAGTGTACAAAGGTAAATCTATGAAAACAGGTCCAAGCCAGCTCTCCCTCTTGCCCCAAGGTATATGGAGGACAGTGTTCTAACCATTGGCTGCAGGTGACAATGGTCCCCACTCTGGCATTCCCAGCCTGGGCCTAGCAGGGAGAAAGGCGGCCTCAACCCAGTGAGCGTGGTGCTTCTGACACCCTGTGGTCGAGCTTTATTGTCACAAGATCACTAATGACTTCTACATTGTGTTTTTATTTTGTATGTTGGTGCTTGCAAAAATGTCAATGAAACAGGTTTTTCTGGCAGGCGAGTACTGATTTTTATCTCTTTAACGGTCAGTATTACTATCACTTATTTTTTAGTGTCAGAAAACAGTCTCCAGGTCTAAGCTACTGAGTCAAGAGTGCATTGATCCGACTGTAGGAAACACCTTTGAGAGGCAGATTCCTCACCATTTCTGTGGGAAATTGAGTAGAAGGAACCCTATGGCTGACCTAACTGTCATGGCGCCTGAAGACCTTGATTCCGAGGACAAGGAGATGTTAAGCTGGGATATTAACGATCTGAAACTGCCACAGGTACGTACTTACATAAGAATCTGCCTTCAGCCTTTGACTCTGAAGCCTTAACTTGTTACATTCTGGAAGGAAATTGGTGAGGGGCCAAGCTGTGTAAATTCCTGTCCTGCAGAGCTTTGGCTGGGCATCTAACTGAGGAATTTTAAGAGGAGATGCCATGACCTAGAATTGGAGTGGGTCTTTACCTGGTGACACCACCCCTCATCCCACAACAGTTACAGACTGAAACAAAGAAAATGCGGCTTCCCTTCTCTTTTCCAAGTTTGGCTTGGCTCCTGTCGCACCTACCCCAACTAGCTGGTAGAATAAAGTCGATGATAAGTTATTTGCAAATAGATTGACTCTGCACAGTGCACAGATTCCCAGAAAGCCTTATTTGCTATATAGTATTGGGTTTTTAAAACTTTATTTTTAAAGATTTTACTTACTTATTTGACAGAGAGCACAGGCAGGCAGAGTAGCGGGCAGAGATAGGGGAAGAAGCAGACGCTCCCTGAGCGGGGATTCCCCATTCAGGACTCGATCTTGGGACTGACTCCAGGATCGTGACCTGAGCCGAAGGCAGTCGCTTAACCAACTGAGCCACCCAAGTGCCCCATATAGTAATGGTTTTAAATTAAATCTGTAACTGGAATGTCCAAATGATAGTGCTCTTATGGGCCAGAGCAACTCTTCTAGAACTTGTGTAAGTAAGATGGGGTGGATATACACGGGGCTGTTTTCCGGCTACGGAGAGACTGTTTCATATTTTCTTTACCTTCATTTTTGGCATTTGACTTTTTAACTCTTAATTTGGTGGAAAATATTAATTGTGTAAAACTGACCTCCCCTGACTCCCTTTTTGGCATTCCAAGGATGTTTTCACTGGAAGTTGTTGGAAAGGGTATTGGGAAGGCAGGGTGGAGATCACCAGTACTGTTTAATGAAAAGGTCAAGCTAGTCTGCCTGATTCTGGGGAACAAATTTGTTTTTTACCAAGGCAGGGCAGAAGAAATGAGCTTCCACAGTCTCAGTTTAAAACCATTCCAGATTTCATTCTCACGAAGACTTCCAGATCATTTCAAATTTCACTCTAATGAAGGTTTTCTTTTGTTTCTCTGTTTTCTCTTAAATTCCTACCTATGTTACCTCTCAGTAGGTCTTAGAAGAGCTGGAAGTCAAAAAGTATACCCTGGGGGCGCCTGGGTGACTCAGTGGGTTAAAGCCTCTGCCTTCGGCTCAGGTCATGATCCCAGGGTCCTGGGATCGAGACCTGCATCGGGCTCTCTGTTCAGCAGGGAGCCTGCTTCCCTTCCTCTCTCTCTGCCTGCCTCTCTGCCTACTTGTGATCTCTGTTCTGTCAAATAAACAAATAAAATCTTAAATATATATATATATATATATATATATATATATACCCTACTTTTCACTCAGTTAAGGTGGTTAAATAAACCCTAGTTGAATCATATAAATATCTATTGTAGGGATTTGTCCTTATAGTTGTGCCTTTTTTTTTTTTTTTTTAAGATTTGATTCATTTATTTGAGAGAGAGAAGGAGAGAGAGAGCATGAGCAGTAGGGAGGGGCAGAGGGAGAAGCAGACTCCGGGCTGAGCAGGGCTCCATCTCAGAACGGTGGGATCCTGACCTGGGATCCTGACCTGAGCCAGAAGATAGACGCTTAACTGACGGAGCCACCCAGCTGCCCCTTTATGGTTGCTCCTAATTGGTTTATGATCGTTGCTGCTGTTCTAGGAGAAACTTTAACGTACATTTTAGTTTACCTGGCTCAGGGATGTAGATCACTTCCTTTTCCTAATTTCATGATCGTAGCTCACAAGTGGCTTCCAGGTAACCTAAGCTTCAAGAGTAGAAGTAAGCAAGGACCTGGAAGGTTTGCAGGGCCGCTTCCTCGAGCAGGGGTTTTAATGGGGTTTGAGAACCCTCTGAAGTGGCGGGGTAGGTAACACTGTCTACTAACATGCATTTTTTTTTTTTCTGGGACCAAAGACTATATCATTCATCAGATCTGTAAACAAAAGAAAGGAAACACCAGGGACACCTGGGTGGCTCAGTTGATTAAGCTTTTGCCTTCAGCTCCGGTAGTGATCCCAGGGTGCTGGGATCGAGCCCCGCATTGGGTTCCCTGCTCTGCAGAGAGCCTGCTTCTCCTTCTTCCTCTCTGTCAAACAAATAAATAAATAAAATCTTTTAAAAAAAGAAAGGAAGCACCACTCTTCTGGAGGAAAACTCGGAACTCATGAAAGTTCACTTTCCATTATGAATTTCCAAAAACAAAAGCATTCTCAGTTTCCCAAGACATTGCATTCAGAAATTTATAAAAATACACAATGTTGTTTTGAAAATGCATCATTTATAGTTAATCAAAAAGTAGGATTGCTCCTGGAAATAACTCCGTGAACTTCAGCAAGTGCCCTTGTAAATATCCCGGGGTAATGATAGAAGTGCAGTTCCTTTGGGGCACCTGGGTAGCTCAGTCAGTTAGGACTCCGACTCTTGGTTTTGGCTGGGGTGGTGATGTCAGGGTTGTGAGATCGAGCCCCGTCCAGCCGTTTGAGGGTCTGTGCAGGGTATAGAGTATGCATAAGAGTCTCTGTCTGCCACTGCTCCCCGCCCCCAGCTCATGCGTTTTCTCTCTCTCTCAAAAAAAAAAAAAAAAAAGTGCCATGTCCCTTTAATATTTTCTAAGCAGAGACACCACCATCCTGATCTGGGTTTGTGCTGGCTCTGGAATCATATCACGAACCATTTGAGGTGAAAAATAAAAGGGTCTTGGAAAGATTTCCAAGCTGATTAGGTTGTATATTTTGTGAGTATTTCAAGGCCGAGTGGTTGCACTGTGTAAGCCGGGGTACGGGGACAAAACCCCGGCTTGGAATTCCAGTTCTGCCTCTTTTTAATCTGTAAAGCCTTAGGGAGTTGTTTACCTTTACTGAGACTCCCTTTCCTCTTCTGAAAATAAGGTGGCTGCACTGACCAGTCTAGGGTTCTGGGACCTGAGAGTAGGAAAGCAGCCTGCCTTCTAGAACTGTCAGCCCAGTGTTAACACAGTACCTGACATACATTAACAGCAGTTGATAAGTGTGGAATTCACTAGTGAATGGCTCCACTGCTTTCAATCTGTGTGACTCTAAACAAACCATTTTTAAGTCTCAGTTACCTCCTCGGTAAAAGGAAAATCGAAATTCCTTACGCAAGCCGCTTAGAGCCCTGTTTAACAAAGTATGTTCTGTGGACTATGGGTGACGCAGCATTTTTGTAGGTGTTGTAAAGAAAAACAGAAGCCCTGGGTTCAACGAATTAAACAGATTTCTTTGCGCGGATCGGAGACTTCCATCCACGTCTGTGTTGGCGGTGCTCCCAAGAGAAGGCGGTGTCGGACTCTGTGGCTCTGACTTGTTTTTGACCCTGGAGTCCTCTCTGTGGAGCCCCTCAGGCGATTCATGTTCCTCAGACTACCTGTTTGGGCACCAAAAAAAATCCGGTTTGAAGGATCAGATGCAATTGCTTGTTATTGTTGTAAATTTCGCACAAGGAATTCAGAGTTTGTTTTTTCCTAATTTTGTGTTCTTGCCAGGATGACTACTTCCACAGTGTGTAGGCAAATTCTGGCAACTGGTAGACCCATTTCTTTACTGCTGATCTGCTCACATGCTTCAAGTTTTGAGATGGGCCGCCGAATGCTGAATGCAGGCTTCATGCCCTGAAATTCCGTAGCCCCTTACACATCTCAATCATGCCAAGATTTATGGGTTGGTTTTTGCCAATAGTGAATGCTGATATCCTCCTTAGGACATTAGATGTTCCGTGGGGCGACTGGGTGGCTCAGCTGGTGAAGTATCAGGCTCTTGATTTCGGCTCAGGTCATGATCTTAGGGTCGGGAGGTCGAGCCCCGTGCTGAGCATGGAACATGCTTGGGATTTTCTCTCTCTCCTTCCTCTGCCTCTCCCCTGCTTGCTTGCCCTCTCTCTCAAATAAATTAAATAATTAAATTAAATTAAATTTTAAAAAGACCCCAACATTTCTGAGTGACGACAATGTGTCAGACACTACAGCAGGCTCTGAGGATATAGGGGCCATGAAGCTATGCTAACTTTCATGGATGAGCCCATGATCTTTTGGGCAAATGGAGTAATAAGGTCAGTGCCTAAATGGAGTCTGTGTCATGCAGAAAAATGCTGGAGGTCCTTGCAAAAGGACATATGTAATTCAGCGTGCCTTGGACATGGCAATCAAGACGGCTTCTGGCAAAGGGCTTTCTCGGAGCAATGCCTTGTAAATGTAAAAGGGGGAAGCAAACAAGACCATCAAGGCAGAACAGGGCACCAGAGTCCAAAAGCTATTCAGCCTCTACGTTTGAGGGAGCTTGTGCACAGGCATCCAGCAGGGTCGGCAGTGAGATGGGGAGGCTACTGGCTGGAAAGGCGGTTTGGAAGCAGACTATTCTAAGAGGATTCAGTTATTTTCTAGGAAAAGGGTAGTCATTAGGCTTTTGGGGACAGATAGAATCATGATTGGATCTGGGGCTGAAAGTCCTCTTGCTCTGGCTAAGTCATCCCTCCCCTCTATTTGTTTCATGTGGGCTTCCTCCTCTGCTCAGCTGCATGTTAGATCTTTATAAATCTTCCTTTCACTTGCTTCTGTTTCCTCCTCTAAGGGTGGTCATTTTGACACCCTTTCTCCATAATCCAGCCCCCAGGGAGCCAGCCCTGAACTGCGGCACTCAACTTACTCAAAACCACCATTGATAAAAATGTCAGACCAGTGTGGTGTATCAGTTTGCTTTCCCTTTTTATTCCCCTTATATTTTCATTTTCATTTTAAAGGTGCAACTATAATTGCATTAGGGTTTGCTTGACCCAAGCAGCAAATGTCTGGTGTTGGTTTAGTCTTCCCTACATTAAAAATGTTTATTACAAGTTCACGGAAAGGGTCACAATCTCATTAATACTGACTGTAACTCTTGGCAGCTTTGAACAGCTAAGAAAGTGCTTTTTTTC